CCCACCGCTGCCACCAGTTGTCACAGAGTGTGGGGGAGTCCAGGCCCTGCACCCCTCTTCCTGGGATTCACTGAGACTCTCAGCCAGCCAGTAAAACAGAAGGTTTATTGGACAACGGGAACACAGTCCAAAACAGAGCTTGTGCGTACAACCAGGACCCCTCAGTCAAGTCCTTCTGGGGGAGCAGGGAGCTTAGACCCCAGCCCTGGGGTTCCCTGCTTTCCCCACCCAGCCCCAAAATGAAAACTAAACCCCCCCAGCAGGCTTCCTCCTGCAGCCTCTGTTCACATTCCTGGGCAGAGGTGTTACCTCCCCCTCCCCCTGCCCCTCCTGGCTCTGGTTACAGGCTCTCAGGTCTCCCATCCCCAGGGCACATTCCCAGGTCAACACTCCCCCCTCCCTGCTGTGTCACACTGTCACACAGCCATCACCAGGGGGTGAAGGAAATCAAGGGCTGCATCAGCGGGGGCTCTGGCAAAAGGCTGTCCCAGGGCTGGGCCAAAGGAAACCCAGAGAGATCCAGAGGGGGCTGGGGGGAGATGGAGCCAGTTGGGGAGCAAAAAGAGGGAAGGTTAGAGAAAGAAGGGGGGGGAGAAGAGGAGAAAAAACATGGAAGACCCAAAAAAAAAAAAGGGGGGGGGGGAGAAAGAAGGAAAAAAAGAGACTTAAAAATATCTGTGTAGTGAACTCTCTTAAATGTCTATTAAATAATGTGAAAAATGTAACTGCTCTCGTTTATAGCGTTCTAAGAAAACACCAAAGGGTATTTCTCGGCTTTCGGTGTGTCTTGTCGACGCAGCTTTCAAAGCTTGTAACAAAAACAAAAATCAGAAAGTTGGTTTGTGTCGTTTTGCTGCAGAGATAACAGGGCAAAAGCCAAATGGGTGATTCACTAGCCAGACCTATACCTCCCTCGTAAAACAGACGAGGGAGCGCGAATCGTGCTGGCCACAGACTAACACCAAGAGGAAAAGCCAGCATGACCCGTTGTAAGACGCAGGGAAACACACGAACGCAATGAAAACCCAGCACTCATTAAGACGAATAGTAATCGTGGAAGTAAATAAAAGAGGTACCAAGCAACGTTTTAGTCACGTAAGGGAAAAAATGCATCCGTTCAAAGAATTTCACACTGGCATGTCTGGAAATATATTTAAAATACGTCGGTAGAGATGGCCGTTTCAGCGATCTGCGCCTGCCTCGCGTCACAAGACACGGGGGATAAAACCTGTGGGTTTGACCAAAGGGGGCTCAAACAATGCAAGACTTGTATCTGATCGGACCGGCAACAATCGAACACTAACAGCACCAGTGACCTGCGCCCGAAGGCTAGATACTTCCTCGTCACGCCCCCCTCCTCCATCGGCTTTTTTTACCTTTTATGCGTAATTAAAGTCGTAACATAGCGTCATAGCGTGGTCAAATTAAAGCTCGAAACTGGTTGAGCTTAGTCATTGGTGTGGACGGTGCTTTCTGTGACCAAATGTATCACATGCCTTTTTTGCTGCCAGGATAACGGCCTCCTACTGCTACCAGCCACCGGACGGCCTGCTTCAGCTCCAGTGGCAGAGGCCTATGCTCTTGGTGCCAAAGGTCCGGAGTTCAATCCCTCCTTACCTCCCCCTGGTGTCCCCGGCTGCCCCTGGGAAGAATTGGCGAAGACCAGAGACCCTCCATCCCACAGCAAGCTGCTCTCCCACGAGCCCGGGCTCTCGGCAGCCGGGAGAGGGTCGCAGAGGTCCCAGGACACTGGGGAGTCGTGCCGGAGGAAGAAGGGAACGGGCACGAAGCCTGCATGTGAGAAGCAAAAACCTCTGTGAGCCCAGAGAGGACCCCACCCCACCCGAACAAGGCAAAAGCTTGTCCGAGCTGAGCGCAGGACTCCTGGGTTTCTCTGATATCCCCTGGCACTCAGTGCTGACCCCAATGTCCCAGCATGGCAGTAAGGGGCCTGGAGCTAGAGGAAGCAGGGTTGGGGGGCTCAGCAGGGAGCGCTCTCCCCTGGCAGGCAGAGCTGGCCCCAAGGCGGCTCTGGGAGAGGAGTGGGGGAGGCTAGGAGCCAGGACTCCTGGGTTCTATCCCCAGCTCTGGGAAGAGAGTGGGATCTAGTGCTTAGAGCGAGGCTAGGAGCCAGGACTCCTGGGTTCTATCCCCAGCTGGGGCCAGGGGAGGTGTGGTCTAGCGATACCTCCCACATCTTGGGACAGTCTTTTAGGAAACAAACCTGAAGGTTTCAGCAGGATTCTTCCCATCTTCAGGCAGTGGGGGGGATACACAAGGGGCCCAATCCCCACCCCCTGCTCTGCCCCCCACCCAGAATACGCAGAAGGCCTGATCCCCAGCCCTGCCCCCACCCCAGGATACACAGTTAAACTCCAAAAAGTCTAAACAATTATTTTATGTAAGGAGCCATTAAAAACAGACCAGAGAGAGCAACTAACCCTAAACTATATCTGTGTAACTCCCCAGGCACCGGATTGACTCCGGATTGATCCTGGGTGGGCTGAGATCAGAACCCGGCCCTGCCCCCAGTGCAGTCAGGGGTGACTCCGGATTGACTCCAGCGGGCTGAGATCAGAACCCGGCCTGTACCTGGCTCTCTCGCTGGCTGCAGGGTGCAGGGCAGGGGCGCAGAGCCCGACCTCTCGGGGTCCATCCCCGCAGCGTCTGGCCCGGGCCCAGCTCCGAATCCTCCAACCGGCCGCGCGCTTCCGATTTCGCCTCGTTCCATCCCAAATCGGGGCAGGGAGCCCCGGCCGCTCCCATTGGCCGACGGGACTTTTGAAAGAGGAAGCGGTTTCCGCTTGCCCCACCCCTCGCTCCTCCTCCCTGAGCTGCCCCCTCCGGCCCCCGCGCTCGGACTCCTGGGTTCTCTCGCGGGCTCTGGGAGGGGAGTGGGGCCGGTGGGTCGAGCAGTGGGGGCTGGGAGCCAGGACTCCTGGGTTCTCTCGCTGGCTCTGGGAGGGGAGTGGGGGCCGGTGGGTCGAGCAGCGGGGGATGGGAGCCAGGACTCCTGGGTTCTCTCGCTGGCTCTGGGAGGGGAGTGGGGGCCGGTGGGTCGAGCAGTGGGGGCTGGGAGCCAGGACTCCTGGGTTCTCTCGCTGGCTCTGGGAGGGGAGTGGGGGCCGGTGGGTCGAGCAGCGGGGGATGGGAGCCAGGACTCCTGGGTTCTCTTGCTGGGGGTCGCACTGACCCTTTCCCCTAAAATACTGAACTTTAGGGAAAACAAATAAATATGCACATGTACCCGTCCAAATCCTTGTCCTTTGTTTATGTAGGGTGGGGGAGGAGGGTTGTTTTGTTGGGTTTGGGGGTGGGGTGGGGGTGGGGGTTTGTTTTTTTTGCGGCCTCAATAGTAAAAATAATGCTGTGAAAAGTGATATTTGTATCTTTGTTAATATTAATTTTTCAGCAAGCCCCAGGACAAATTAAGCTGTGGTCGGAGGGGGGACAGTGGGGACGATGTGGGTTGGGGGAGGCAACAGAGGCCTGGGGCAATGGGGGGGGGTGAGTCCCACCGCTACGCAGCCAGGGGCCAGAGAGCGAGGCGGGACCCGGGGCCTAGTGCTTGTGGCCGGAGCCCAGAGCTGTGGGTCAGTGCCCCACGGCTGGAGCCTGCCACTCAACCACCCCAGAACTGAAGCCCGAGCCCCCCAGCACCAAGGTGGGGTGAGAACTCCCTTTGCTCCTGCAACGTTTGGCCCCACCTGTCTCCAGAGGTTGTGCAGGACAATGCATCCAGGAGCTACAGGGGGTGAGGGGCCGATGCTTTGCCCCCAGGAGGCTGCCAGGCTGCTGGAAAAGGCCCTGGTGGCCGCCTTTGAGAACCGCCGCGTAGCTCCCGCCGCCAGGCTGGCACGGTGCCCACTCCCCCCCTCCGCTCTCGCCAGAAGAACCAGGCTGGCGCCGCTTAATTCTCAATTTCTTTAATCACTCGGAGTGGTACGACCTCTGATCTCCCCAGATGGGAGCTGCCGTATGAGAACCAAACAGCAATTACACACCCCTGCCACACGCATCAGGAGATCTGGGGAGGGGGGGTGTTTGGGGCTTGAGAGGCACCAGGGCTGGGCTAGCAGGGGGCTGCGGGTCGGGAGCGAGGGGCATTGGCACCCTGCTCCCCACATGGCCACTCGATGTCACGGGGACCCCAGAGGAATTCCCAGCGGGACTCAGGGTGACATTTCTCCCCCTTGCTGCCCTGGGAGCGGTCACACACCCACCCACCCGCCCCCCACAGTGATGGCCCCTGGGCGGCCTGCAGGTGCCTCGCTCCCCAGCTCCAGCTTCTGGCTGTTACATCCCCGCCACCTGTGCGAGCCCCTCCCTGCTGCCACCAGGCTGAGTCGCTCCCGCTCGGTTCCTGCTCTGGGGCCCGCGGCTGGGGCCGGGATCGCTCCCGGTTCTGGACTGAGGCTGCTGGGCCCAGAGGGACCCTGGGGCTGCCCCAGCCTGCACTGCCCGGCATCCCCACTAGGGGGCTCTGGCCTCAGAGGGACCCTGGGGCTGCCCCAGCCTGCACTGCCCAGCGTCCCCACTAGGGGCTCTGGCCTCAGAGGGACCCTGGGGCTGCCCCAGCCTGCACTGCCCGGCATCCCCACTAGGGGGCTCTGGCCTCAGAGGGACTCTGGGGCTGCCCCAGCCTGCACTGCCCAGCGTCCCCACTAGGGGGTCTGGCCTCAGAGGGACCCTGGGGCTGCCCCAGCCTGCACTGCCCAGTGTCCCCACTAGGGGGCTCTGGCCTCAGAGGGACCCTGGGGCTGCCCCAGCCTGCACTGCCCAGCGTCCCCACTAGGGGGTCTGACCTCAGAGGGACCCTGGGGCTGCCCCAGCCTGCACTGCCCAGTGTCCCCACTAGGGGGCTCTGGCCTCAGAGGGACCCTGGGGCTGCCCCAGCCTGCACTGCCCGGCATCCCCATTGGGGAGGGAATTGTGGCAGGGGGGAGGGGAAAGGGACATGGATTGGGGAGGGGGAAGGGAAAGGGGCATGAATGGGGGAAGGGATCTGGGAAGGGAGGTTTGATTGTGGGGGGAGAGTAGGACTGTGGAGATAAGGGGGGCCAGGGACGGTCGATTCCCCCCCCCACCCCCTAGCAGGGCTCGCCATCGTCTGGGTCGCCGGCATCCCCGCAGCGCTCCCCGGCCAGGCCGGCGTAGCCCCCGCCACGGCCCTTGCACCCCCCAGCGGCGGGGCGGGCGCGGCCAGGGGAGAAGCCCAGCGAGCCGCTGACGCTGAAGACGTACTTGTCCCACAGGAAGCGCTCGAGGTCGGGCGCCAGGCCGGGCGAGCGCGGCCCCCGCTGGCTCTGCTGCTCGCGGGTCCGGCACCGGTTCTGGAACTCCAGCAGGGTCTTGGTGTAGGTGTTGAGGGTCAGCACCGAGGCCGACATGCAGAGCGTGAACGAGAGCCAGGCCATGCTGCGGGTGGGCGGGGAAGAAGGGGGGATCGGGCCAGGGAGCGGTAAGCCCCAGCCACAGCCCCCCACTCTCCCCAAATACCCAGCCCTGTGCTCCCCACCTCTTCCCACCCACCCCCAGCCTCTTCCCTACACCCAGGTACCCGCTGCCCTCTCCACCTAACTTCCATCTGTCCGTCCATCCACCAACCCACCCATCTACCTACCCACCCACCCACCCACTGACCTACCTACCCACCCATCCATCCACCCACCCACTGACCTACCTACCCACCCACCCACCCATCCACGCACTGACCTACCTACGTATTCACCCACACACCTATCCGTTCACCCAGCCAGCTACCTACCCAGCCAGCCAGCCAGCCAGCTACCTACCCACCCATCCATCTATCCACCCACTGACCTACCTACCCACCCATCCATCCATCCACCCACCCACGCATCCATCCACCCACTGACCTACCTACCCACCCATCCATCCATCCACCCACCCACGCATCCGTCCACCCACTGACCTACCTACCCACCCATCCATCCATCCACCCACTGACCTACCTACCCACCCACCCACCCATCCACGCACTGACCTACCTACGTATTCACCCACACACCTATCCGTTCACCCAGCCAGCTACCTACCCACCCATCCATCTATCCACCCACTGACCTACCTACCCACCCATCCATCCATCCACCACCACCCACGCATCCGTCCACCCACTGACCTACCTACCCACCCAACCATCCACCCACTGACCTACCTATCCACCCATCCATCCATCCACCCACCCACCCATCTGTCCACTCAGCCAGCTACCTACCCACCCATCCATCTGTCCACGCACTGACCTACCCACCCGCCCACCCACCCATCTATCCACTCACCCACCCAGCTATCTACTCCCCTATCCATCCATCCATCCATCCATCCACCACTCAGCTATCTACTCGCCCACCCACACCCACCCACCATCCACCGCTCAGTGATCTTCCCACCCAGCAGCTGTTCCGCCATTCCCTTCCCCAGCCAGCCAGCTAGTCACCCTCTCATCCACCCATGTATGTCCCACCCACCCTTATGCCCAGCCGCTCCACATCCCTCTGTCCCTCAGTCCGTCCATCCCCCAGGCCCGCCCCTCCCCAGCCGTGCACACGCCAGTCCAGCATCTCCGGGGCTCTTCCAAAGGGCCAGGAAGGACTCCATCGTGCGTCCCCAGAACAGGGGGAGCAGCAGGGCACTTGGGGGCTGGATGGGAGCCGGTGCCCCCTAGAGGGGAAAGGCGCCATGTCCCCGGGGTCACTCACCCGAAGGACCAGCCGTAGAACCAGGTCTGGGGCCTCCAGTCCTTGGGCCCCAGGTTGACGGCCACCTGGAAGACCGTCATGTACATCATATGGGCCACCATGCCCAGGAGGCCTGGGGACAGAGAGCCCAGTGAGCAGGGGCAGCACGGGGGGTTGGGGGGATCAGGGAGGGCAGTGGCACTGATGGGGTTAATGGGGGTGATGTCGGGGGGCCATGGGGGTTTGGGTGGGGCGGCACCCGGCAGCACAGTGATGAACGTAGAGGGCGGGAGGCTGCGGGAGCTGAAGGGGGAGCTCGGTACCCGACAGCATGGTGATCACCACGGCTAAGGCGTTGGGGGGCTGGGAGGGCAGGTGGGGGGCAGGCAGGGGGCCGGGGGGCCAGAAGGCCAGGGGCCAGTACCCAACAGTGAACAGTGATCACCGCAGCAAAGGCGTTGGGGGGCAGGCAGGGGGCAGAGGGGGACCGGGGGCAGGCGGGGGGCAGACAGGCCTGGGGGGGCAGAGGGGGGCCGGTACCCGACAGCACGGTGATCACCGCGGCGAAGGCGTTAATCTTGAGCCCGGCGATGAAGTCCGCGTAGCAGGTGGCGTCCAGGCCCATGAGCACGAAGCCGACGCTGAGCAGGGCGATGTACAGGAACTCCGACGCCACCGACAGCCACAGCACTCCTGGGGGGCACCCCATGGTCAGCACGGCCCCCCCATCCCGCCCCCGGCCTGCCCCCCGCCCGCCTCCCAGCCCCACTCTGCCCAGTCGGGGAGGGGGGCTGCTGGGTGGGTGTGTTGGGGGGCCGCTGGGTGTGCGTGTCGGTGGGGGGGCCGCTCGGTGTGCGTGTTGGTGGGGGGGGCCGCTCGGTGTGCGTGTCGGTGGGGGGGGCCGTTCGGTGGGTGTGTCAGGGGGACCGCTGGGTGGGTGTGTCAGGGGACCGCTGGGTGTGCGTGTCGTTGGGGGGGGCTGCTGGGTCTGCGTGTCGTGGGGGGGGCTGCTGGGTGGGTGTGTTGGTGGGGGGTGTCTGCCAGCTGGAGCCCCCATCCTGGGGGTGCCCATGGGGGAGCTGCTGAGCTGGGGGAAAGTCCCGCCCCAAATTTGTCCATCTGTCCGGCTGCTCACCTTTCTCCGACTCAGGGGGCAGCTCTATGAAACTGCGACAGATCTCGACTGGGGGCGGGAGGATGAGGGAGAGAGAAAAGGACAGAGTGTGAGGTCAGCGGGACGGAGGGGGCACAGTCCAACCCTCCCCCCCCAAATGTTTATTGGGTTTACCTTGGCCGTGGGCTGAGACGTGGCCACCTCTGGGGTGGGGTGCAGGGGCTGGGTATACGGGGATCCCTTGCCCAGTGCTGATGCGGCCCCTCTAGGGTGGGGCCCAGGGGCTGTATATACAGGGACCCCTCGCCCATTACTAAGATGCAACCACCTCTGGGGTGGGGCCCAGGGGCTGGGTACACAGGGATCCCTTGCCCAGTGCTGATGCGGCCCCTCTGGGGTGGGGTGCAGGGGTTGGGTATAAGGGAACCCCTCGCCTGGCACCGAGATGCGACCAACTCTGGGGCGGGACACGGGGGCTGTCCCTACCTCCGTGGTGCTCCTCGCAGGAGAGCCAGAAGCCGGTGTGGAAGTAGCGGAAGGCGTACTTGTCCTCGCCCGTCTCCCAGATGTACTGCACCACGTTGGGGTCCAGGGTGGCGTTCCCGGCCTCCGTCTCATTGGCCCCGACGGGCACACAGTTGCCCTCCCTGATGGCCGACAGGCAGGGCGGCTTGACCACCTTGTGCGTCCCCTCGCACCAGTAGCTGGTGGCGAAGGCCGACACGGCCAAGCAGAGGGCCAGCGAGTTCAAGGCCAGAGCCAGCAGCGAGCGCGTCTTCCGGCTCAGCTTGATCATCGTCCTGAGCCCCGGCCTCCGTCGCCACAGGCCGGCAGCTCCCTTCCTAATGTCTGTCTCCCCCCACCCCCCCGCCTTTTCCTCCCACTCGCTGCCAAGGCTTCAGTCTCTCTGGGAGAGAAAGTTTCTTGGACTCCAGACGGCGATTTCGGCTCCCATATGGTCCCTTCCCTCCCTCCCTCCCTCCCCGAATTGGACGGGCCAGGACGACACTCCACGCTCTGCGGATTGATCGTTTAATCCACTCTTAGCTTCCAGCCCGTCTTGGAGGCAGGAATCAAAATCTTTTCTCCGCGCTAATCCAGTGCTGGGTCTCTGTCTTCCCTGCAAAGCTGCGGAGAATTATGTAGCTTCCTGCTCCCCCCCCCCCCCCCGCAACCCGCTGCTTTCCTGGGCAAAAGATCTCGGCTGCTCCGTTCGGGGTTGGAGGCACCTTGGGGCCCTTGTGACCCGCACACCTCCTGGGTGTGGCACTGAGATTAACGCGTCTCCTATACAAGCAGTTGGCTTTTAGCTCCTGCAGCCGAGGCTCGTGCATTTAGCTCCAGCGGTGGCCGGTTCGATCCTGCCCGCCCGCCGACCGGGCGTCACACCGTCTTCGGACCGGCGCTGGCTCAAAAGAACAAACTCCAGAATCCTCAAGCGGTTGCGGAGATTGGGGCGGCAAACGAAGCCGCGTTTGGGCCACCTCCAAAAAATCTGAGATTGACTGGATCGATTCGCCGCCACAGGGCCAGGATCAGCGGCGAAGACCCGGGCCAGCGAGAGCTTTAGATGGGTGCTGAGTTACTTGGGTGGAGCCCAAAGAAGAAAATTGCAAGGAGAGTCTGAAATGCAGTGACTGTCCGTTGCTGAGATCAGGGAGCCAGATGCTGGGTTGGAGTCTTTGGCTCTAATGCGGTCTTGAACCGGGTGAATTTTGGGACGCAAAGTTTTGGGCGCACGACGGTTCTTCGTTTGGTCCCCAAAGTTTTAATCCGTTCAGACAAACGAAAAAAAACCCAGACTGAGTCCTCAATCTGGGGAGTGTATCAGGGAGTGCGACTCAAAAGGGGCTGTTTTGAAGACACTTTGAGCTGGGCCTTTCCCTTCAAAGGAATAAAACTCCAGCAGTTTCCGAGATCCGGCTCACCTCAGCTGTTCGACCCAGGGATCGGGGCTGGGGAGGCGGCAGGGGGTGGATTTTGCGTCGCTGAATAAGACCGATGCGGCTCTTCGACCAGGTGATGTTGGCTATTGAGCTTGGGGGATGCAAAGGAAAAGCGGCTCCGCGATGAATTGCTCCGTGGATTGGAACAGTCTCAAACCGGACCCGCCTCCGCTGGGATCCAGACTCACAGGACACAGCCTTGAGTCTGGCTGGCTTCATGAAATCCGGGGTCTCCTGCCCCTTGTGTCCCGTGAGCCCCCCGAACGGCCCCTGTGCCTGCCGGGCTGGGGGAATCGCTTCCCCCGGGCCCGAGCCGCGGGGCGGGTTGGGGGGGAAGCCGCACACTGATTGAAAAGCTCTTCATTAGCGCAAAGGCGCCCTGGTGCTGAGGGCTGTGGATTAGCATCTAATCAATGGGGCCGGGGGGGGGGTCTGATACTCAGCTTGATCCCCTCAGCCCCGCACAGCTGGAGGGGTCAGCGGGGGGGGGGTAAGAGAGAGGGAGAGAAGTGTAGAGGTGGAGGGATAGATAGATAGATAGATAGATAGATAGATAGATAGATAGATAGATAGATAGATAGAGGGGGTGAATGGGGATAGATAGATAGATAGATAGATAGATAGATAGAGGGGGTGAATGGGGATAGATAGATAGATAGATAGATAGATAGATAGATAGATAGATAGATAGAGGGGGTGTCTCAACGGGGGGGTAGAGAGAGGGAGAGAAGTGTAGGGGTGGAGGGATAGATAGATAGATAGATGGGGTGAATGGGGATAGATAGATAGAGGGGATAGATAGATAGATAGATAGATAGATAGATAGATAGGGGGGTGAATGGGGATAAATAGATAGTGGGGTGTGTGGGGATAGATAGATAGATAGATAGATAGATGGGGTGAATGGGATAAATAGATAGGGGGTGTGTGGGATAGATAGATAGATAGATAGATAGATAGATGGGGTGAATGGAGATAGATAGATAGATAGATAGATAGATAAAGGGGGTGTCTCAGCGGGGGGGGTAGGTGAGTGGATGGAAGAAAGCGATTGACGATGCTCAGGAGACAGACAGAGAAGAGGGATACGCGGAGCGATGGACAGATACACATTACAGAAATGATCCCTGATACAGGATCTGTGTGTGTGTATCTGTGCGTACGCTCCCCACTGCCCCCTGCTGGCGGGGCGGGGTGGGGTGTATCTGGGTTGCTGCCTGCCAGCCTGGCTCGGGTCCGTATCGGGCCCCATGGCTCCCCCGACGCATGGAGAGGGACCGACCGGCTCCTCTGCACTGGGGAGCAGGATCCAGGCCCTTGCAAAGGGGGGAGCAGAGGTCAGTGGAGGGAGAGGTCCAGACACAGCCCCCCATCCCCGTGTCCCAAGGACAGGGGAGGGGACATGGAGTGCAGGAATACGGGGGTATATGGGGAACCGGCTGGATTACAAAGGGGCAGATGGGCTGGCTCAGGAGGGGCAGGGAATGGGGCATGGGGCCTTCCCCCTCGATGGGGCGCCGGCTCCCATCCAGGGTGGGCCGTGGAGGGCAGAGTTAGCGCGGGGATGAGCTGAGGCCTGAAATCCCAGGGGATTAGGGCCAGCTGCGAAGCCCTGCCTGGCATGTTCCTTTCATTAAGATCAACATGTCACAGAGCCGGAGCATTTCCCCTAGAGCCCGTGGGGCCAGCGGAGATTTAAACACAGGGAAGTAATTAGAGGAGAGAGGCCACGCAGTGAGACAGAAAGTGGGGGGCTGGGAGCCCGGACTCCGGGGTTCTAGTCCCACTCTGGGAGGGGAGTGTGGGCTAGTGGTTAGAGCAGGGGGGGGACCTGGGAGCTGGGTTCTCTCCCCAGCTTCAGGAGGGGAGTGGGGGCTAGTGGGTGGAGGGGGCTGGGAGCCAGGACTCCTGGGTTCTCTCCCCGGCTCTGGGAGGCTCCCAGGATCAGGCCCACAGTGGTACCATGTGTTGCAGTTACAAATTTGCTCCTTGCCATTCCCTGTTCACCACCGGGCGCCCCCGGGGGTTCTGGGCCTGCAATGGGGGGCGGGATGGAAAAAGCCCATTGAGTGACCCACATTAGCTGCAGCCCCACGTCACCAACAGCAGCCTCAGCCCCTGCTGCTTAATGACACAATTAACAGCGGCTGCTAATCAACTGAAGGGGAGGGGAGGAGGGGCTGGACTCCCCCTCCCCGGCCAGTGGGGGTCCTAATACAGCTCTGCCGGTGCCCCTCACTCCCGACCCACAGCCCCCTGCTAGCCCAGCCCTGGGCTCCCCCCAGCCCTGCCCGTGCCCCTCACTCCCAGGTGTTGCCCCCTGACTTATTTTCCTTCCACCCCTGGCCCATGGGGGCCGAGAGCTGAACCTGCCCCCACCCCAAAAGCTGCTGAGTCCAAAGCGAACCTCCAGCACCCCCTTTCTCTCCTACCTGACCCCCCCCAGAACTGCCCCCAGCCCCGGATGCGGCAGATCCGAGCCGAACTCTGTCCACCTCCTACCCCCCAGGAATCAGCCGACCCCCACGCTGCTCAGGGGGCAGGTTGGCCTGAGCCAGGCTAAGGCTGCCCCATTAATGGGGACCCCCCGCGTCTCTAACCCGGCTCCCCCAGGGGGATCGGGCTCCCATGGAACTGGGCAAGGGGAGCTGGAAGGTCAACTGGGGCCTTTGGGGTTGGGAAGGGTTTACGACTGAGGCACTAAAGTCTGGGGGTGGGGCAGCCCCACTCCCCTCCCAGAGCCAGGATAGAACCCAGGAGTCCTGGCTCCCAGCCCCCCTGCTCTAACCACTAGACCCCCCCTCACCTCCCAGAGCCAGGGAGAGAACCCAGGAGTCCTAGCTCCCAGCCCCCCCCCCACTCTAACCACTATCCCCCACCCCCCACCAGCTGTTTTCTTCTCTCTCCCAGCACTGCAGCCAGGTCCCGCTGGGAGGGGGGGGGAATGGAGCGAGTTGCGGGTGGGGGGGCAGCTGTGGGGCCTGCGGGGACAGATCTAGGGCTGGGTATGGGGCTGAGGAAAACAGGGGCTGCGGGGTGGATGTGTCCCCGGAGGGGGGGCAGACATTGTTCCAGTCAGGGCAGAGAGGAGGCTGCAGGGGAGGAGGATGTGGGGGGGGGGCAGCGGGGAACCTGGCACCACAAAACATGAGCCCAGCCTCATCCATGTTGCCTCAGGCTCTTTATTTTTGTAGGGTTGCTTGGGGGAGGGGAGGGGGGATTTCCCACCCCAAATCTGCCCCAACTCCAGCCCCTCCCCTCATTGTTCTTTGCTCCTCAGCCTTCTAACAAGGCGGGGGTCAGTCCGTCCCCCTCACGCACGCGGCGGGGGGGCTCTGCAGCCGGGGGCGGGCGGTGTCTCAGTCCCCCGCCAGCAGCAGGAGGGGGCCGTGCAGGGCCAGCGCCCCCAGGGTCAGGCCAGCCGCCAGCAGCCCCAGGCAGGGGGCGTGGAGGTGGGGGCCGGCGCCGCGGCCGTGGGGCAGGTCCGGCCGGCAGGGCAGGTGGTCATGGAGTAGGTGCTCGGGCGCGGCTCCTGAATCTGGGGGGCAGGACAGAGGGGAATCAGAGGAGCTCTAAACATGCCCCCCACCCCCGAGCCAGGGATGGAACCCAGGAGTCCTCCCCCGCTCTAACCACTAGACCCTACTCCCCTCCCAGAGCTGGGGCGAGAACCCAGGTGTCCTGGCTCCCAGCTCCACCCCCACTCTAACCCACTAGACACCCCCACACACACTCCTAGAGCCAAGGGTCCAGTTGGTCTCCCAACCCAGCCCAGGTCAGTCATGGCCTAAGGCCTACTTATGTGTGATGAGTTTTGGGGGCCTCAGCCTAGTTCTCAAAGAGGTCCCTCTCAGGCATGGACAGGCCCCCCCCCCCAGCAGAGAAGTCGAGGGCTGGAGCCC